GATGAAAAGAAAGCAATTCTGGTCTCATAGCAAATGTGACCAAGCACAACCAGAACACTGTGATTAATACCTTGAGACATCAAGCAGAGAGAGGTTATAGGATGAGAGGCTGGATATCCATCAGGTCATGGAGGAGGCCACAGATTCAAAACCTTGTGGACATATGAAAAGTGGCTGTCCATGGTATGGACAGTGTCTCTAGGAGAGTGATTGTCCTTTTGAGAAGATCTCAAGTAGACATCTCAGGCAATATCGAACTGGACTCAAAAATTAAATCTTCAGATCCTTGTTTGATAGAAACATGGTAGTTAATAAACTTTTCCTTTGCCTTTCCTCTTTTTTCTCTCCTTCCCAAAATAAAGAGATGTGCTGATTTTCTTGAGCACAAGGTGGCAGGATTCAGCTTCACTTTAAAGCCAATGAAGGCTGAGCAGTGCTTCAAAGTGATAAGGTAAACACGCTACTAGGAATGCAAAATGAGGCAGGACAAAGTAGCTAGATAAATCTGCAAATAGGTGGGACACTGGAAAGATTAAAATGTAGGCTAAAACACTCGGAGAGTGCCTCATGTTTCGAAGTAATTTAGAAAAGTGTTGTATGGAAGCCAAATTTTGTCATTTAGGGAAAAGATGTAGGATATCACATAAGAGAAGGTACACCTCAGAGTAGCTGTCAGCCCAAAAGATGCTGTCAACTAGAGTTCATAGGCTTGCTCTGAGTCACAGTACAGACGTGTGTCTCTGACCACAGTTCTAGCTTGAACGCAAGAACATCTTCATGTGAAAAGTTTCATGGGAATTGGGATATTTCTCTGGAAAAAAAAATGTTTCTGAAAAGATCATAAGGTCACATGAACTGTCCAACCTCTCCCTCTTGCAACAGCTAAAAATTCTCAAACTGTAAGCAAAGTTTAAGCAGTTTATTTCTGCACAGTTTTGGTAAGACTGGTCTTTGAGTACACATTCCTTTGGATGGGAGAGGATACCACAGCACACACACAAATTATGTGGCCTTTACCTGTTCCCAGACTCTGTGGTATAATTCCTTATTCCTCCACCTAAATAACAGTACTTGCACAAGGAGTCTTTGAGTTTTCAGCTCCTACCTATTTTCCAGAAATACATGTTTAAATCTTTACAGATATTTACTATTCCTATGCTGTGACACATTCTTTATGTATGGTGTATGAGTTAAAGTTTCAAAACTTTTGAAGTAATCAAACACTCAACTTTAGAACAGTGATTTCAAACTATGAGTTTTTCAGCACCTTCAGGTTTTCCTTGTAATATATTCAGATGAAGGTTCTCCCATAACTTTATCTATGTCAGTAAAATAAAAATGGGCAAAGAAATGTGTATTGCAAAGGAACTGGGAAGTCATTGATTTGTTTTCACCTACCTAAGGCAAACCTCTTTACCAGCTCAGAAGAGGTTTACCTCATCTGCTCTGAGAAGGCTCTATTACTCAAGATGAGTGTTCTCTGAAGTGATCTATTTGCTGTGCTTAACTGTCCTTTTCAAAAGTTTTCATGATGTCAAACATTAATCTGCCTCGTTGTAAATCAAGTGTATTAATCCTTGTCCTATCCTATAGACAAAAAATATTACCTGTCCTTGTTACATATTTCAGGGGCGTTATTGAACTTCCTGTCAGACTTTCACAAACTGAAGAAAGTGAGCTCTTTCAGTCTTGACTCAATTCATATTTTCTAGCCCTCTGATCACACTCTATAGCTTTTTGATATTATAAAGTCTTTGCTATAATTTTACCACCCTCAGGATGATGTTTGGTCTTGTAGCATTACCAGAAAGCTACTTGTCTTTAGTGGTTTAGCTGTGGCTCTTCCTTAAATACTGATTCTTATTGTGGCTCTTCTTTAAGTACTGATTAATAGGAAGTACTTCAGCATTTTCTTTTCTACTTTCTTGAATCTGTGAGAAAAATATACACAGAAAACATAGAAATAAAACTTCTCTATGTAGAAATGAAGTCATGATTTACCATCAAATTTCTTTGTACAGCTACCCTCTAGTAATTCTAGAATTTAAAGACTCGAAGCAGGACCTATGCCTGTAGAAAGGGCTGCTGTTTCCCCCAGCAGCCAACAAGGGCATTTTTTGATGGAGCATTCTGTATCTTTCATTTTGACAACTTTGGTGGCCTGAAAATATGACACTTTTAGTTTGTTTCTTCCCACATTCTTCTCCCAGTCAATTTTGGTAAAATACTAATTTTAGGGAGAAAATAGATTTTAAACAGTATTTGGCAATTTAACCATCATGTTTTCATACCTGGCAATTTTTGGCATTGTCATATAGAAATCTATGCATCTCAAACCTTCTAAGACAAGTTTACTGTACAGTTCAGCAACACTCCTATGAGAAATATTTTGAATTGCAGCAAACATAAACTGATGTTTACCACAACAGGCGATAATACCCTTCTCCAAGTGTTGCCTCAAGCTTTATTTAACACTGGTCTGCAGCCTTATGGTTATATGATCTGGCCTACAGAACTTTACTTTTTCAACACTGTTGAATTATCAAATTAGCCAATTTCATCCAACTGCATGGTTTTATCTAAAACTTCTTTGGCAACTCCTCAATTTCACAGATTCACAGAAAACAGAGATATCTGTGAAAGAATAAGGTTCAGTATATGCTGATTAGTATATATGCTGATTCAGTATATATGATTAGACTAATGTGAGCTTGTTGCCAAAGAATCACTAGGACAGTTAAAATGGTATTTATTGCCCTAAAGAGGTGTTATCTTTGTGTTCCTCCAGGAGAGAGAGAGGGAATAAAGCACATTTTCCAAAGCTGTAAGGAGACTTGGCTGGAGAACAGTAATGCGGGTGTTGCAGCAAATTACAGGTTTCAAAATTTTATCCTGCATTAAGGCTCTTTCTCAAGGTTTTTTCTAATTTGCATCATATTGCAGTTTATGCTATTAACTTTTCTTTCTCTTTCCTCCAAATTCTTTAATAATCACCAACTTTTTCCTCTAGAAAATTGCTGCATGACATTTTAATTTTACTTTTTACCCCTCTGTTAATATTTTGTTCAGAGAAATACTTTACTTCCAAGTGCTGAACTTCATAGAAAGGCAGTATACTCAGAGTATCTATACAACAATTTTACTTAAACTTCAAAACTTTGGTTTAAAGGTATCATGACTGACAACACTTTTGATCTGTCTTTTTGTACAGTCTGCATTTATTGATTTATGGGGAGGTATATAATTTCTGTATGGTGTGTTTCAGCTAGGTATGGTCATGACTTTCTTAGTAGGATGTTCTTTTAATGCAAAATCAACCCATGCCTGGCCTACAAAGCCACCTGGTCAGATGTGGGTGTTCCTGTTAGCCTGAGCAAATGCAAATGAAATGGAGTGTGTTTTCAATTAGTAAGTGTCACATCAAATTGATTCCCAAGCACCTTCTAACAACATATTAACTGTTCATTCTGTACCTTTGTAATAGGAATTCTGTAACCTTTTTTTTCTTTAATTCACCCTTATTTAGTAACTTCAAAATACTCAGCTGGGTAACTAGGTAAGAAAGGACCATCAACATTTTTATACTTAATGGTGAGGTGGTAAGTGAAGAACCTGTTGTCACAGACGAAGGACTACCTGTCATGTGCCAGGACAGAAGCACAGAATCTCAGAAACGGCAATGGAAGAGCATCCCAGATCAGCTGGTCTTTGCACCTGCGAATACGTGACACACGTATGTCATTCAGACTTGCCTCAGCCTCGATGTACGGGAATGATAACTACTTCTTGAGGGGTGCCGTGCGCCTTCCCAGCCGGCGCCTGGGGGTGGGTGTGCGGCCGGGGCTGCGCGGCGCCCCGCGGGCCGGGCCGCGGTGCACGGCGGCGGCGGGACGCGCGGTGGCGCCTGCGGAGCGCTCAGCGCGGGGCACTGCGGCGGGATCCGGTGCACCGGCAGCGCTGCGGAAACCCGCAACCGGGGGTGGGGGCAGAAAAACGAAAAGCAGCCCCGACCGCGGAGCTGTCAAGGTGAAAACAAGGCGTTTTAGGGTCTCTCATCCGTCGTCTCCCGGAGTTCTCGCACCTTGCCCGTTTATTACCCGATGGCGAGCTCTCGCCCCGGCGGGCGTGCCAGGTGCCTCTCGGCACGGTGCCTCCGTCCGCCCGGCGGGGCACACAGTCCGCACAGGCGGCGGCGCGCTGCCCGTCCCGTGGGGTGCGTGTACGCCTGTATGAGTATGTGTGTACATGTACATGTACGTGCGAGGCTGAAAGCTCAAGTGCGGGCTGCCTATTGGTATCTGTTCTTCGGCACCCTCCCTTTCTTTCCCCCGTTCCCTCCTCCTCCTTCCCTTGTCTTTTTTTTTTTTTTTTTTTTTTTTTTTCATTTTTATTTCAGGCTCATTTTGTGGAGTTTCTGCCCCTCTCTGCGTCAGCCCCACGTCACTTTGCCGGCAGCTCCCCGTCTTGGGCTGGAGCAGGAGCCGGAGCTGCTTTATTATCAGCTGGAGGGAGGGAGGAGGAGACGGTGCATAAAGGGGCGAGCGCGGAGCTCTGAGCCCCGCCGCCGCCGCTCGCTGCGCCTCCCTCGCCGCCCGCTCGCCGTCCCTCTGGCGGGCAGCGGCCGCCCGAGCCCCCGCAGATAGGAGCGCAGCCTCCGCCACCTGCCCCCGCCGCCCCGCGCGTTTTGCAGCATCATCGGCAGCAGCCGCGGGGGCAGGCGGTGCCGCTGTCCGCCCGCGGGGCTAGGGGCAGGTGCCGCGCCGCGCCGGAGGCCCCTCTCACCCCTGTCGCTGCGGCGTCCAGCTCCGGCCCCCAGCGCCCCGCGCAGCGCCCGGGCGCTCAGAGCCGCGGGGCGCCCGTGGCTGCGGCTGCGGCGCGCCCATGTGAGCCCCGGTCGCGGGGTGTCCGCCCGCGGCGCGGAAGGCTGCGCACCCTCCGGCCGTGCGCCCCGGCAGCGGCGGCGGCGGCGGGAGCAGGAGGAGGCCGTCGGGGCAGTGCTGGAGTGAGCATGGTGTCCTGGCGGCGGAGGCCGGGGCCCGGCCTGGCGCGGCTGTGGGGCTTGTGCTGCCTGGTGCTGGGCTGCTGGCCGAGTGCGCTGGGCTGCCCCGCGTCCTGCGGGTGCAGCTCCTGGCGGATCTGGTGCACGGGATCGTCGCCGGGCATCGCCTCCTTCCCCGTGCCGCAGAGGAGCGCCGAGGGCGACAATGTTACCGAGATGTGAGTACGGCCCGGGGCCGGGCGCGGGGGCGACGGGCCGGAGCAGGCGGGGGAAGCTGCGGGCGGGGGCGGCGGGGAACTGACCCACGCCAGAGGCTTTTGCTCCGCAGGCAGATGCGGTGGCTGGAAGCCTAAAAGCCCCGTGTGATTTTATTTGGACGCGGCTTACCAGAGCTGCCGCTGCCAGCCCGTTTAGATGATGAATCCTAATTGTTCGCGATGTAGGTCGCGGGCACCGGGGCGGGGGGTCGGCAGCAGCGGGACCACGGGGCAGCCGGGGAGCGGGACGGGCCTGGGGCTTCGCCTCCGACCGGTGCCCCAGCTGCTGCCGAGGGGTGCGCACCCCTCAGCCCACACCTCTGCGGCGGCAGCAGGTATGAAACGAAGGGTTTTTCTATCTTTCTTTCTTTCTTTCTTTCTTTCTTTTTTTTTTTTTTTTACTTTCGTTCTCTCAGCTTATCGCTGCGAACCGAGGATGTTAGTGGGTGGCTTGCCCTTCACCCCAGATTTCTCCTGTTTTGGTAAAAAAAAAAAGAACAAAAAAAGAAAAAAAAAAAAAAAAGAAAAAGTAAAGGAAGTGATGCGGCAGAAAGTGACAGCAAACTGTCTTTCATACTCTAACCATAGGAATGCGAACCTGCTTTGACCTTCTCAGTGGAGGTGGCTGGAAGGGAAAAATACAAAACCTGCAGAGGAATGAACATAGGGCTGCTTGTCAGCGTTTGGGAGGGAATTAGACAACCCTAATTAAGAGTGAGGAAAAAAGTTTTTTCCTCTCATTGCCATGTGGAGCTTCCATCCTCATTGGCCTCAAAGACAGAATTTGATGAGGGAGTTCTGTAGCTTTTTGTGTTAAATCCGTCAATAGTTTCATAGTTCAGGGCACCGTGGCATTCATGTCCATTGCCTAAGAAAACCTCTTGCAGAGCAAAAAATTTTAGATACTGGATGTATAGATGATATATCTTGGGAAAAACCTTCCCAAACTGTTTTGTTGTATTTTCTGCACCCGTTTTTTAATTGCTTTCTGTGACATTTAATGTAAAAGATACCAGTATATTTGTCCCAAATCTACACAGATTTCTCACTATTTGTATTCTCCATCCTTCTTCTGTTTTTCAGTGTCTTTTAGAAGAAATAAAAAAGTACTGTGAAATACTGTGTGAGTTTAGATTAAATTCTAGCCCTTGGGCTGCATTCCTACAGTTCGTTGAAGTCAATTTGCTGCATTTCCCTGCATTTGCTTGGGGGAAAACCTGGAGGCATTAATTTCTACTACTCATGTATGGCCTACCTTTGGGAGATTTTTTAGGACCTGTGATAAAGAAATGGTCTTTCTGAGTTATAACTGTCACTGATTCAGATGTTTCTGTAGATTGCTTAAATAGCAAAAAAAATTACTTTGAGCTATGCCTCTGTGATCATTTTTATAGGCTTTGGTAGCCTTTTTATCCATTGCATTCTGTTTAGAAGTAACAGGGCAATTTTCATCTTGAATTTAATCTCTAGTTTGGAAGGCCAGAACAGAAAACACATAATGTAAATATGTTTTCTTCCATGATGAGCTTAAAATATGTCAAGTCATTTTACATTGATACTTTTGGCTTTAATTTTTCTGGTTTTTTTTAAGCATCGTTTTCTTTATTGCTCTTTTTGGTTTTTACTGTATAATTCTGTGACATTGCACATTGTTTTGTTTGGTGATCTAAAAATAATTTTGAGTCATGGATTTCTCAGGAGTTGCTGTTGCACGTATTTAAGATGGTATTTTCGTGTGTGCTTTTAACATAAAACACAGGGACCCTTTAATTAGTTTATAGACAAATTAAAAATTGAACTGCAGTAGCTGTCATATTGTTTCATTGTTTGAGCTCAGTAAACACTAAGTACATACAGAAGCAGTTCTAATACAGTAGGTACAGATTGTGAAACTGTTTATAACACCACAGACCTTGCTTAATTCTAGCTAAGAAACAGGTTTAAGAGACTGGATTGTTACATTTCACTTAGCTTCAGTGTAGCTTCAGGCCTCTTTCTTCTTTTATGTGCTCTGCAGATACATTCCGTTGGTCTCTGGTGGAATTACTCAATTACTCTTGGTATAAATAACATGTAGAAAGCATAAGACAATTAATTGGAAGAATTTATTTGCATGTATTTCGTGAGTATCTATTGAAATCAATCCTTCATTTGTTGGTTACGTCCTGGTCTTGACAGGAGTGCAGTCCTAGGCAAAACACCCACAGGCACCCAGGATGTGGATCCTGAGTTCAGTTCTTTACCCCAGCCACAGGCACTGGGAGCACTGAGATAACTGCATGGTCAGAGTGTGAAACCCATGGTGGTGCAGAGGATTGGCTCTGGGCCAGGTGGATGGCACTGAGCAGGCAGGATGTGAGTGGGCAGCCAGGGTTTTCCATTTGGCTTTAAGAGTTGGAAAAAGATGGGATGGTGCAGCAGGAATAACAGAGATGAGGTGCCATGTATCTGGCAGCCACCACCACCTAACACTCAGGTGTTTCACTGTTTGGTCCACAGGTGGATTGTGCTTTAGAGTTTATAAGCAGTCTCATCCCAGTCTAGCTATATCTTAATTCCTGCTGGGATTCAGCATCCAAATCTGTGGAGAGGGTACCTCTGCATCAGCCCTATGAAGGCCAGCTGCTGAAACTTGGTGTGGGAGGGCATAAGAGTATTTATGCTGGGTGCTTTCTTAGTCATCTCTCTTACTCTTTCCCTTCCTGGCTGTTTTTGCATAGTGCTCTACTCCAGTAAATTAGACAGATTTTAGATTTGCCCGGTTGGTTAAGATGATGGTGTGGGCTGGTCTTTATCTGGAAAACAAGTACTGGTGCTTATCATAACAGACTGTACTTGTAATAATTGTTTGGTCACTTTGGTATTATTGGAGATAAAGTGAACTCCAGAGTGAGATTCTGCATTAGGATAAATGGTATCAGTCATTGGTACATTAAAAGCCAAGGACCAAGAGTGACAAAAGCAGAATTACTTTATCAGCTTTGTAAAATCCATGCATTGCAGACACAATGGCAAATAAGTAGGCCTTGTCGAGATCACTCATACAAAGATATTGATAGGATAGTAAATGAGAAATTTTTAGAGTGGTCAGGACTTCGTGTAAAAGGACCAGTGTAATATTTTCTCATTAAGGAAAATGTATTGCTGTTGTATCTCAGTGTACATGACTCTTCAAATGACTTTGATTTAAAAGTGACATCTTGCAATACAAGTATATTGCTGGCCTAGCTTCACAGTTCTGCTGTCAAGTCATTAATATGTTTACTTATGATTATTCAGGTGAATGAGGTTTGAAATTAATTGGTGTTTTTCAGGAAGAACTGCTTGCCAACAAAATAGTAGGTGACTTTTAAGCTCTTGCCTATTAAAAGAGAGGTGATTGTGTATTGCGTACATTTCAAAACCACAAAATAAATTTCTAATGCAGTTATATAAAGCACTCTAGAATTGTTAATAAGTAAGACAGGATAAGTAATTTATAGAGTAAATTATTTAACAAGTCATGTGAGCTTGTGCTAAAAAAAAGTGCGTGTTTAAATTCATTGAAGCTCAGAGCTGTTGGTATTTTGAGTCTTTTTTATTCTAGATTTTGAGACTGTTGTAGATTTAATGTCATATGAAACTGTCTACAAGGCTCCTCAGCCTCTAGCCCCTTCCTCCTTAAAGCAACTTCTGGCTGTGCATCATTGCATGACTTGACTGGATTGAGAAGTTATTTCTGGTGACTTAGAATTGTATAATAAAACATGAGACACCAGGCTACAAATTATTAAAGGCGTTTTGGACAGTGGTGACGTAATAGCTTCATTTAGAAATTTGTTCTTTTTTTTTTTTTTTTTTTTTTTTTAACTTCCTTTAAAGATCTGGATAATTGGTTAAGGTGAGTTAAAAGTAAGCACTGTGAAAATCAGTTTTGTAATTTCTAGGTTCTAAAAATACTCCAGGATCACAAAGCACTGAATTTTATATATGTTCTTTTCTTTGCTCCCAGGAAACCTTTTGTATGTCTTGTTCTAGACGTTGCCCTTCTGGTTTGTGAAGACTAATGGGGCTCCTGAAGGTTTCCACTGAGGCTGTCTCAATCAGGCAGAGACAAAACAGCTCATGAGGCTGGAAGAGAGCATCATCCTTCAGGAGGCAGTCAGTGTTGGGCAGGGTGGCAGGAACACTGTCTCTCCCTCAATATCTTTGGTCACTCAAGAGTTTTGAAAAAGGTTTGGGATGTATATAGTGCAATGAAAGATTTTGTCTTGAACACATTGTTTTCAAGAAACTTCCATTTTTTCCCATACTAATGAGGAAATAGGGCTTGGCAGTGCAGCCTGTGATATCTTTAGGATGGCATTTTCCAGATTTCTCAGGTTCTATTTTTTTCTCCATTATTTTTATGCTGACAAGTGTAACAGAGAAAGTAGCTTAGCAATATTCTGGATTCCTAATCATCATAGGGCAAAAAAATTTTACGTAACTGAACATGGGCCTGATTTCTCCATTTTGGTTTTCATTTTTAATTAAAGAGGGATCTCCTATCTCCCTTTTTTTTTTTTTTTTTTTTTTTTTTTTTTTGGGATTGCAATTCATTCACCCATGTTTGTCATATGTCTCTACACAAATATCTAATGGGTTTGGCCCTGAAAGTTGTCTCCAGATACCCTTGCCAGAGCAGGAGAAATGTAGCAGGTAATGGAGCAAAGAATTCTAAAACTGCTTCAGTGTGTTGTTGATGTCAGATGTATATTTAGCTTGTTACCTCTGAAAAACTGCCCTTTAAAAAGCAAAGCAGATTGTATAAAATCACTAATTTACATGCATTTCAAATGGAGAGATAAATCCATAGAGGTTTGCAACCTATTGCTTAGGTTGTGAATATGTTTTTTACAGGATGCTGTTATGTTTGTGAAGATCTCTTAATCTAGATGTATGTAGTACATCATTGCTGTTAAATTATATATGATCATATA